TAGTTTAATACAAATTTAAAATAATATTAAAATTTCGATGTTCACGAACAATAATAAAAATTAATTTACAGAGATTCGCTGACGTTTGTACATCTGTTAGTTAGACGCATCTGGCTTCTTTTAAACAAAACAAACCGCATTTCTCTAGCTAGAGCGGGGGAGAAGTTATTGCCATTATTTACACTAGTCTCTAATTATCCAGTGGGGAGAGGAGGAGTCGTGAAGGGACGCCAATTAGTGAGCCCGCTGTACGACCGATACGGCCTTCACTTATTTTTCGAAAAATAATTAAATGTATTCAAAATATTTATGAATTGGTCACTAATTTAAAAAATAAATAAATAAATCTTACTTAGAATAAAAAGTATTTCAGTAAGAAATCAATAGAGATTTTTTAGATAAGGTCAAAAATATCAGATAAACTATAGAAAAAGTTACTTTTTATAATGGAAAATAAACCCATAAAACGTACAATTTATAAAAATTTAACGTCAAATTTAATTGCACGATAAGTTTAAATATAAATAAATATGTTTCTGCTACAGTATGTAGTGTTTTTCTATGCTTTTTTGTTTTCAAAGTGAATAGTGCGTTTTATTGTGTATGTAAAATTCGACATTATGCACAATATAATGCCAGAATAATTTGAAATTAACATGAAACTTCAAAAAAATAGGCCTAATTATTTACAGTTTAGAAAGTTTTCGATTTGAAACAGATGTATGCTATTTTTCAGAAGAATTGTTTATTACAGTTCTTAGCGTGTTTTAGTTAGTTTGTTTATTATTATATGGTTGTTTGGGAATATTCTGTGCTGCACGTCATCCTCCTTCATTTCTCGTTTGCATTTCGAACTGATAAGACGTTTATCTTTTGCTCTTACTTTTTTTTTATCTTTGTGTGCATTAACATGGCCAAAAATTTTGCCAATAAAGATGTAGAAGAAGGACTGTTAACATCTGAGGACTCATTTACTGTATGATGAGAATAGCGATTTTGGAAGTGACGATTTTGAGAAGAGTAGTGAGGACGAAATACGTGACGAACCCTCTACAACTTCAGATACATGGTCCTTTACTCCTACAGCTTCTCGAGAACAGTTTCGTTTCACTGCAGTTCCGGGAGTAAATATTTCGATAACAGATCCCGACGATGTGATTGGAATTGTCGAGCAGCTGTCCAACGACAGGATAGTCGAAGGAAACCAATAAGTTCGCCGAAAAAAAAAATAAAAGAAGCGACAGATAGTCTTCTTGGTCTAGGAAGGAAGAGCCGGATGCGGAGTTGGAAGCCGACAAATCCAGGTGAAATTAGATTGTTAGAGGGGATGCTACTCCTGATGGGGATTGTCAATAAGCCGACTCTACAATCTTACTTCTCTACGAATTTACTAATCAAAACCCCCATACTTAATGAAGTAATGGTAAGAGATAGATTTTTATTGTTACTGTCATTTTTGCATTTTACGAGCAACGAAAACAAAACCTCTAAACTATACAAAATCGAACAATTGCTGGATCTGTTTAGATGCAGTTTCCGGTCTGCTTACACTCCATCGAGAAATATTTCGATAGATGAGAGTCTCCTTCTCTGGAAGGGTCGATTATCTTGGAGAATATATATTCCGATGAAAACGCGCAAAATTCGGCATTGAAACTTTTTTAGTATGTGAAGCTAATACTGGGTATGTACAGTATATAATTTTATAATTTATACGCAGAAGGGGAC